CAAACCCAACGGCTCTTTTAAGAGCCACCCACGTTTCCGCTTAAAGAGCTTTGTTTCCTTTTTATGAATGTGAAGGAAAGCGGAATGTTTCTGTGGAGGTGGGGAGAAAAGATGAACGAGGGTTTTGTCGCATTCCAGTCAGTTTTCTCGCGTAATTACTTGGGTTGCCAGTAGTTACTCTATTGTGTAGGTAACACTTTTTCCCTGTATTTTACGGAAACACTTTTTCCGTAAAATACAGGAAAAGTCCAGGCTTTATTTTGAGTTCTAATGCTTCTAAACCTTTTTTTCTTTCTTTACATGCATATATGTATTAATGAACAAAAATCAATATGTGCACGTTTGTTTGTTTGTATTGTTAGAGCTGTTTACTTACTCTTTTAATATTTTTCTCTCTGTGTGTTTATGCATTTTAAGGCTTTCGAATAGTGGAATAAGAAGAGGTCAGTGTGTGGGGTACATATGCAAAGAACTACGAAACTGCATCAAAAACATAAATGCAAAACTATTTTTTTTAATATATTTTTTCTTTTTATTATTATTATTGTAGTTTATGACATGAATAAAAATTAAATGAGTAAGTTAAAGTCAGTTATATGCTAGACCTTATTAAGTCCGTGATGTAGAGCCAGACATTAGGCTTATGATGCAGTTAGAGTAAGTAAAAGTCGGCCTTAGGCTTATACTGAAGTGCCAGTGAGCACAGGTAGGTTAGGAGCTTAGCCTCAGGCTTACAGTGTAGACAAAGTAAATGATAGTAGATTAGAGTGAGTAGCAGTAGCTATGGAGCCTCCTCATTTATTTATTTATTTATTTACCTATATATGTGGATTTGGTGTCTCTGACATAAGTACGTTTTTTTTAAAGTATGGTGTATGTATGTACAGTTGTGCGTATGGACGGGAAAAGCTTTTTGGGATGAATAAACTACTCTGAACTGAACTGAGATCTTTAGTGCTCTGTTGGACTTATGATGAAGCTATAAAATTAAAATCAGGTACAGAACCAGGCTTTAAGCTCATATTGTAGTTAGAGCAGGCCAAATTAGTCTTACAGCTAGGCCTCAAGCTTAACAAGTATTTAGAGAAATAGTAAATGTACAGTTAGGCCTTTTCTGAGGGTTATGGTGAAGTTAGTCAAAGTAAAAGTAGATTTAGGGCAAGACCTTGACCGTTGCTGAGGTCAGAGTAAGGTGATGACCCCACCTTGCCCATCCCAAATATTTCAAATCTTTTGAGTTACACACCATTATCTCCAACTTTCATGATTACTTTGAACACCATTATATCCAAACCTTACATAGTTTATTTTATTATCTTTCACATCATTATTAATGTCAGTAGTTTTTCTTATTAAGAATGATTCCATTATTTCCAAACTAAGCAGTAAAATATATTTTCAAAGATAATCAAAGATAAACTTTATTCACTTTGTGTATTACTACTATTCAATACGGTTATAACTCTCTGCATATATGCTTTTCTCCTTCACAGACATTTTAGTTCTCAGATGGAACAAACAGGTTATTCTCTGTGTGTGTGCTTCTCCTAGATGAGGCCTACTTGGCACACACCACTGCACTTTGCATTCACACGCAGGGTATAATTTAAGGTTGAAAAGTCAGCAGCGTTTACAGTCAGAAGGTGTGAACCTATCAAAATCGTGCCCCTCTCATCTCTGGGGATGCATTATGACTGGAACGATTAACTTATTCTGATGGCTTCTGGTTCATAGATTACAGCATATAAAGCATATGTCTCTAAATTCAACAGGGGGGATTTTACTGGGGGGAGTAGAATTTTGGCAGTATTATTTTTGACATCTGCCGAAATTATACTCCCCCTCTGATCTCAGCACTGCAAGGTCTGAATGACATCTTTATTTTGCTAGCATGTCCTGGGCTGTAGATTGTGTCCTGAAATGTATTTTATTCTAGGTTCTAGGTATAGAATTTTATTTCATTATTTATTATTGTATAACCCTAACTCAGATAAGTTTACTTTTCATACTCATACAATATGAAAATGTGTTTTCATATTGTATTTATGTTTAGCTTCACACAGCGCTTTGAAACATCATGATCATGAATGACATCACTTGTAACATTAAAAAAAGGCGATATTGAATACTGCTGATCTATTAGTCAATCTGTCTATATCGAAATTATAGCATCTCTTTTACGCACCATCATCTTACATTTTTGTGTATATATATATATATATATATATATATATATATATATATATATATATATATATATACACACACACACACACACATATATATATATATATTTCTTGAGGGAGTGAAGGACCGAGAAACAGAAAATACCTCAAGAGAAAACTTTCTTTTATTATTTATACTGTATATGTTTGTATGTAAAACACCCTGACAAATAAAAAATGTGCACAACTGCTTATTGCAAATAAAACATCTCCCACTACAAACATCCAAAAGAACATAAACTAAAAATGTAAATTAGCTACTTAAATATGCTCAATATTTATATTACTATATTTACACTGTTTACAGTGTATTTTACAGATGTCACTGCATTTTTTCTACTCGTAGTTTAATCTCTACTACAAGCGTCACAGATGTAGTTCTTGTCCTCTGGAGTCTTTTTAACACAGCTGTAATGAAACCACAGTGGACAAAGCTCACAGCCAATCTAAATGTTTGAATAAAGACATATTCATCAGCATTGTTGGTTATTAATCTAGTAAAGTATAATAATCTGTCAGATCTGAATTTGACTGTAAAAGAAACAATACAGTTTTATGATGAAGTAATTACCCAGTTTGTGTCTTCTTGGGCATTTTGCCTTTCTCCACAGAAGTAACACAAATCACTCAGGTCATCTAATAAAACATCATGCCATGTGACAACATAAACACAGATGTTATCATTGTTGATAAATAGGGGTGTTTAGTCAATCTCAGAATAACAGAAGTATTAAACTGTTTCAGATTCTTGTTTCAATTATTACTGCTTTCTACTAGTTTACACTCGTAGGCCTAGAGGTACCCTTACCAGTTTTTTGAAGGAGTAAAATGGCTATTTCCCTTCTTATGTCCTCCATACCCTTGACACTTGTGGAAAAGGAAATAGGCTTGTCTTTCAGGATGCGTTTGACAAACTGTAAAACAAAAACATAATGAAGTTTTTATTGTGACTGAGAATTAAGTTTTTTTCACTGAGGAAATCAATGTTATGCACTGCACATTCTGACACTAATAAACCATGTATTTTAAAATAAAACTTGACAGTGCTTAGAACCGAGGTGCAAATTTGGTCTGACTTGTTGGGGGGTTCAATGTCAAGAGGCTGTAGCTTACATACAGTAAAATATTCAAACATAAAACTGAGTAAACAAAATACAATTACACTTCATTTTGCAATTTCATGCTTTTTATGTCAATATTTAAACACAAAACAAATAATGTCAAGTCAAGTCAAATTTATTTGTTTAGCGCTTTTTATAACTGATGTTGTCACAAAGCAGCTTCACAGAAATCCATTAAGGACAACGTTTTAACATGAAATGTAAATCCTCCAGGTGAACAAGCCAGGAAAAACTCCCTCAGAGCTGAGGAAGAAACCTTGGGAGGAACCAAGGCTCACATGGGGGGACCCATCCTCCTCTGGTCAAACTACCTACAAAATTATTATACTACTAATATTAATAGTAGTAGTAGTAGTAGTAATAGTAAGGAGTCCACTTCAGTGTAGGGTGGGCAGCTGGTCCAAGGCAGGTGGCGGTGACTGGGGCGTGGGCAACTGGTCTGAAGCTGGTAGCAGGAGAGCTCGACAGACAATCATCCATCAGTGTTCAGCCGGACAGGTGGGCAGTCGTTTACTCGGAAAAAAGGTAGGGAGATGGAGTTAGTTTAGTTCTGTATGGGTGTATGTATAATAATATGTAAAACATTTCCAGAGTGTGGCTAACGACTCCGGCAGATCTGACTATAACAGCTTAATTAAAAGGAGAGAACCAAAAGGGCACACAGATACGGGAGCACCCTGAAACAATTTGGCATCCCTCCGCTCCACCGTCCACAAACCTGAGTGACCGCGTGCGAGCGGTGGGACGGCAGCACCAGCGTCTCAGTTTACTATAATTCCCTGCGTCCATGGACCCCTGGATCTGCTGCCTTTATCTAAGGGGGAACATTAACTACCAAAAAGCTAAACTACACTGTAAAAAATTTACTGTAAAATTTACAGGAAATTACTGGCAATTTTAGTTGCCAGTAATGTATTGTAAATTTACAGTATGAGACTGTAAATTATTTTACTGTAATTTTACAGAACTAAAAATCCCTGTAATAATTGTAAAAATACAGTATGATCCTGTATATATGCGGTGCACTAAAACCTATTTTATTGTGAAATTACAGTAAGTTACTGGCAACTAAAATTGCCAGTAAGGTATTGTAAATTTACAGCATGGTACTGTAAATTATTTTGCTGTAATTTTACAGAATGAAAAATCCCAGTAACAACTGCAAAGAAGACAGTATAATCCAATATATCTACAATAAAATTAACCATGTTTTTAAAGCTAAAGAGTATAATAAATATTAAATTACAGTAATAACTAATATCTTCCTAATGCTAAATGACAGTAAAAATAATTCTGTCTACAGTAAAACTATTGTAAATGTATTATCTGAAAAACTATAGCCAAGATTACATTACTTGTAACAGTCAGCTCAGTTTCTGATGCTTTAAGGTAAATGGTTACAAGTGACTTGCAGATGGTCTGAAACTGCATTACTTATTATCTGAATTAACTACATACTTCACATGAAATCACACCGCTTAATATTAAATACAATTTTTTATCTTTAGTAGCCCGTTGATAATGACATACATGTCCTTGTCATACATTACTACTAACCCATAAATGACAATTACTTCACACAAAATTTTGATTTCACTTATTTTACTACAACAGCACACAGCCAAATTTACAAGTACAAAAAATAAATTTGCGT